CTTCCGAATCCAAGACGTAGGGGAGTGCTTTCCTTCGCGACCCCGAGGCCGTCGTGTTTGCTTTATTCGAGCTAATTTTCATGTTGAAACTCAGGGCGGCTATGCAGGTTCCTTTTAAAAGGAAGATCCAGCACACCATTCAGGGTCTGGTCGAGGTACTTTCTGCTTTTACTTGTGTCCCTTTTCTCGGAGCTCTTTTGGTCACCTCCTGCACTGACTAATCCCCTTTCTTCTTCAATCGCTTACCTGTGTGAAGATGATAGATTTTCATCATGAGTAGGAGCTCCTGAAGGCCAAGGAATCTTTTGATGCCGTGATGGTGGGAAAAGAGGCCGCCGAGGAGAATGTGAGGATTTTGTCGACAGAGACTGCTGAGCTGAAGAGGGTTCATGATGAGCTCGACATCTGCCATCAGGATCTTATTAAGCTCAAGGATTCTCAGCTTAAAGATAAAGACGCCGACCTAGTAGCCAAGGATTCGGAGATGTTGTCTCTGCGAGCCAGGGTGTCCGAGCTTCTAAAAGAGAGCGCTTCTGCCTTTGTGAAAGGGTTCCTGAACTGCCGAGATCAGATCGAGGATGCTTACCCTAACCTCGATCTGTATCCCTTCGCGCCGCAGCTTGAGTATAAGAAGGGGGCTGTGGCAGCCAAAGAGGCTGAGACACTTGGTGTCAATGAGGTTTCTGTCCCCACGGTAGCTACGACCGAGGAGCTCAGTGTCTCAGCTGAGGCATCTCGCGAATGAGTCGGTGGTGGCGGTGAGACTGTTTTTCGAAGCTGATCTGTGATTGTTTCTTTTTTGCTTTTCTGTGATTTGTTAAAGACCTTTGTAGCACCTTATTTTCTTCTGAGTGTCGATGTTACTTTTGGATGATGCTCGCATAGTTTTCCCAACAAGAACATTGTTGCTAGTTTCTCCTTTCCTGTAAGTGATGTGTTCTTATTTGGCTCTAGTGGATGAAAATATTTAGTTTTGTGTCATGGTGTTGTTTGCTAGTTTTGAGGCCCCAAACTATGATTCCTGAGTCGTCTTCAGGTAACTGTGATAAATGTAAGGCTTAGGCTGTTTGAGTCAACCCCCCTCACATAGCTGAGCTGACTCCGTTTCTTTCCTAAGATGGACTAGCTTGAAACATGCGGGATGACTCAGATAACCTATTTTCTCGAGCCTGCCTTTTCCCGAGCATCTACGTTTTAACCCTGGAGCTATTTCGGTCTTTTCCCATTTCTTTTCGTGCACTCCAGACATAACAGTTTCAATTGCTTGAGAACGTGCGCCGTCAGTAGGGATAGTGGCTCCTCAATCGTGGTGCCTCAAAGACCCCTACGATGCCACGTGTCCCTCCCCTTAAATGTAAAGGATGTGCATTAACTGTGCCTGGCGAAAATGATAGGCGCATGTCGGCATAGTCTATAAATAGGCACTCCCTGAATATGATTGTCTGAGTTTGGGCGCCAAAATTTTCTGCTTCTTCTCCTTGCTGTGACACTTCTCCTTCTCTGGCATTTTAAAAGAAACTGTTTGCCTGCCGTTTACATGGTCAGGGTCTCTTCTTCTCCACGCGACGTCATGGAACGACTTTTCCCTGATGTTGAAGTTAGTGAAATTGACGAGGAAGAGCTCACTCTATTGCTAGCTGCTTCGACTTTCCTCTTGGGGTGGTTGTGCGTCACGCCGATTTACGCTAATTTCACTACTTCGTCTGGGGCGAGGCTTGCTTCTTTGAGGCCCCTTTCTTGCTAGGGCTCTGGTTCCCATTTCCCTCCTTTATCCGAGAGGTTTTACACTTATTCAGTTTCTATCCCGCGGCTTGGGCAGTCTTGTGGGAAAGACTATTCCCCTAGTCTAGGTCTACGGTGCCGAAGTTCCTTCAATATTTCGTCCTAAGGAAGTGTCTAAGTTTTATCACTTCATCCCCAGGCGAGGAGGGGAAATTCCTATCTCGAACCTTCCTCCAGATCCAGAAGGGTGGAGGAGGAAGTATTTCTTTGTTTCTGACCATTCCGACCCCATTGTCATTGGAAAATTTCATTACCAAATGATAAGCTGAGGGTACCGCCTTGATGGAGTTGAGGGACAGCCTTCCCAGCAGGACGTTGTAGGCAGAAGGAGAGTCCACCACCAGGAAACGGGCGGTGGTTGTTACCTGGCAAGGTTGATCTCCTACGGTGAGGACGAGCTAGATTGAGCCGATTGGTAGGACCCTTTCGCCCGAGAAACCTAAAAGATAGGTTTTCAAGGTTTCGAACCTCGACCTCTCTATGCCGAGCTGATCAAAAGCAGATAAGAAGATGTTGTCGGCCGAGTTTTCATTATCGACGAGCACTCGATGTATAGTTTTGTTTACGATGATTACCTTCATAACCAGTCATCATATGGGTGCTGGCACTCGTAGAGATCCGTGTCAAAAAAAGTGATCTCCACATCTCGACGGGGTGTCTTACTGATGGCTTGGACCTCAAGAAAATCTTTCAATCGTGCTCTTCTGGCGTGTGCTTTTCGTGTTGAGCTGGACTCACCCCCTTCTGCGAAGCCCCCCAAGATGACCCAAACTTCGCAAAGAGTTTGTTGATGTTGGTGAGGAGGTGTCGCGGCAGCTCGGGCTTCCCGCCCTTGATTATTCTAAGCTCTCCCTTCTCCTACCACGTAGTGGAACAAGTGTCCCCTCTGGATTAGGTACTCAATTTCCTTCTTGAGCAGGATGCAGTCATTTGTTTCATGGCCTGTGACTTTGTGGTATTCACAGTATTTAGAGGCATCCCGCCTATTGGGGTCTGACTTCATTCGGGGCGGCCACTAGATGAACCTTTCGTTCTAGACCTCGTAGAGGACCTAAGTGATCGAGGCGACGAAGGGTGGAAGCCGCGCTGGGGTATACTATGGTTGTAATTCCTGTGGAGGGGGCCCCAGGCGGTCTCGGACGTTGCCTCTCCTTAGGGAACAATCCCTTCTAGGGGGCTGATCACGTCTTTTCTCTTTTCTAGGACTATAGTCCCTTTTCTTCTTGTCTCCTTCCATCGCTGCCGTCGAGCTTCCTTTTAGGCGGAGGGCTTCTTCGCCGTTGAAGTATTTCTCGACTTTCGCTAATACCTCGGCCATAGTAGCTTGGGGGTTCTTCGCAATCGAGAAGAGGATGTCCTTGGACTACACTCCGAGCCCAGACATGAAGGCGATCAGCGCGAACTTGTCATCCACACTCTCCACCTTCAGACATTCCTGGTTGAAGCGCTGCACGTAGCTCCTAAGGGACTCGTTGGGTCCCTGTTTGACACTCAGCAAATGGTAGGATGGTTTCATGTATGTCCTTGATCCGATGAAGTGCGGCACGAACTGTATTGATAGTTCCCTAAAGGAGGAGACCGACGTTTGTAATAGCCTATTGAACCAGGCTATTGCCGACCCCTTAAGGGTGATGGCAAACGCTCAGCATCGAATTGGGTCTGGGTACCCTTGGAGTTCCATATGGTTTTTATAAGAATTCAATGGTCAACTAGGTTATTGGTCCCGTCAAACGCCTCTATTGAAGGCATCCAAAACTTTTGGGGGAGAGAAAAATGAAGGACCTCGGGAGTGAATGGTGACTCGATTTGATGGACCAAAGCATCCATGGTGTCGGGAGTCTTTCCCTTAACCACCTTTTTCACGTTGCCCAGCTCCTGCTGGAGTGCGCAGATTTTTTGTTCCCACGTATGATCGTTGACGTCCAGTAGAGGACGGGGCCTACCTTCTCGGAAAGCGGCTCTAGCCTAGCTGTGGGCTTCATCTTCGTCGTGTTCTTCGAGGGGTCTCCTCCAGTGATTTTCCCCAGAGTGGCTATGCTCATTGAGTTCAGTGACCCCATTTGGTGGAACTTAGCGCTCCTCATGAGGGGCGTCGTGTTCTGCTAGGGGTGGAGGGCGCTCTTGTCAAGCTGGGGGGAACCGAGGGAGCTGATGTGTCTGTATCCATTCCATCAGTTCCTGGTTTTGCTTTATCAATTACATTGTAGTTCGATGGTAGGTCTCTAGTTCATTGAGTGGGGGAAGGTTTACCACTAAAAGGTGATCCTCGGCATCCACTTCAGGGATCGAGAAGTTCTCCGATAAGTTTTGGTGGACTTGGGAATTGGCTAGAGCTTTACTCATATTCCGAGTTGAAACCATCAAAAAGATTAAAAAAAAAAACTCAAAAGAACGATGAAAACCATTCCCACAAATGGTGTCAACTAATACGGTCTCAGAAATAATAGCCCAAGCCCGATTAATGAATTGCTACCTAGATTAGTGAGTTCAATCGGATATATGGTTGATTTGTAAATAATAGAAGGCTCAAAACGTAAGTGGTTTACCTTAGTCAGAAGACCAATGCTACATCTACTGTAATGGAGTCTCTTGCTCCTTAAGGTCATATATTAGCATCAGGTGAGTGTATCTAGAACGTTGGCACTGAGCCTTTACAAGGGCTTAAAAATTTGCTCGTTTTGTATCCAGGGCTGAGGAATATCTTAGAGGGGACCTCCTTTTGGTAGGTTTACACTTTTCTATTTATATTAATCCTTCCTAGGGTTTCTGGTGGCTCCTTCTACCTTGTTGCTGATCCTGTGGGGACCTTCCATCCTTGTTCTACAAAAGCCTCTGTTAGCCAACGCTACTGTGCCCGCGATCTCTGGATCGTTACGCATCACCATCCTCTGCATCCGAGAGGGTGTAACTATCATAGGTTTCAGAGATGGTCCCCTTGTCTTTTGGACGTGTGGCATGGCGGGATGCTTCTAGGGAAAAGATTCGACCCTTCTTTCTTGGACGGTCCTTCGGCTGGTACTGGATTGGGCCAGGGCTAGATTACTGGTCCTTTGGGGCCATTGGGCTTTACCCTTTTTGCTCTTGATGTGGGCTAGCCAGAGGCACCCCTTTGGGCCAATAAGCCCAAACTGTGAATTCTCAAGGTGTATTGGGCTCAGAGGACGTGGCGGCCCATTCCCAAAATTCCACCCTTATCAAAAGCGATTGTGCTAGAGTATATGCCAAATGGGAGCCTTGAAAAGTGGTTGTATTCCCATAACTATTTCTTGGACATCTTGCAGAGATTAAACATACTGATAGATGTGGCACATGCATTGAATTATCTCCACAATGGCTACTCGATTCCCGTGGTTCACAGTGACTTGAAGCCTAGCAATGTTTTGCTGAATGAGCATATGGTCGCACATGTGAGTGACTTTGGCATTGCAAAGTTATTGGGTGAGGAGAGTACGACACTAACCAAGACCTTGGCTACCTTGGGTTACATTGCACCAGGTGATGCTTTTAGTTTATACTCTGATTTGTGTTCGAATTCTCTTTTTTGCTTTGATTGTTCTTTGGGAATATAATATTGTATAGAATGTAAAATTCCTTACAAGCATTATAATTTTGTTGATGAAGTGTATGATGGATGTAGAATATGGATCGAAAGGACTAGTCTCTACAAGGTGTGATGTTTACAGCTATGGAATTATGCTGATGGAAACCTTTACGAGAACGAAACCATGTGATGAAAAGTTCAATGAAGATTTTAGCCTCAAGCAATGGGTGGGTAATTCCTTACAAAATGCAATACTCCAAGTTATAGATGCCAACTTAGTAAGGCCAATGGATGAACACTTGACTGTGAAGGTGCAATGTGTAGCATCTGTCATGGAATTGGCTTTGAAATGCTCTACATAATTGCCTAAAGAGCAGATTAGCATGAGAGAGGTTATAACAACTCTTCAAAAGACCAGACTTGAGTTTCTTGCAAATTGTTAAATGCCTTGAAACATGAAATATTTGTTCCACTTTTTTTTTTGTAGTAACTAATTGGTGCACATGTACGTTGCATGTGAATTATGTTCAGTTATATTTTTATTTTTAGTTATAGTTTTTACAATATGGATTTGTACTTTGTGGGTTTTAGTTTGGGTTATGCATAGTATTAAATAAATATATACATAAATACAAGGACCCAAGAACATGTAAGCACATAGAAAAATAGAAACAAAAATATAAGAGGCAGGTTTCGGCATAGTATAATGTTGAAAGCAAGAGAACCATCATGTTTAAAATGAATTTGTAAAATAGTACAATCTTGCTATACAATATTGTTTATGAAAAGAAAAATAAATACAAAATTATATCATCTTCAAGGCATTGTTGAGCTAATCCGACCAGATGATGCAAACAAGCTTTATCATCTACCTCCACATGAACCAAATTCATTTTCAATCCATTATCATAATCTCTTTTTATTTGAATATCACTAAAGTTGAAGCCTCATCGTGTAGAAGAAAAGCCCGTGAGATGGTCATGTATACAATTTAAATCAATATAACATTCTTTATTGTGAATTATTGCTTACTTAAACTTGATATTATGAAGACAACCAATAGGAGGCCAAAGACTAAATGTGAATTCCTTTTCTTAGAAAATTCAATTATAAATGCCTAAAAATAAAATAACCAGGATTTGGAAAAAAAAGGTCGTGGGTGGGTTAGCCATTGCATAAAATTTCATTGTGACTCCCTTTTCTTAGAAAATTCGTTAAAAATGCCAAAAAATAAAATAACCAGGATTTGGAAAAAAAAGGTCGTGGGTGGGTTAGCCATTGCATAAAATTTCATTGTGACTCCCTTTTCTTAGAAAATTCGTTAAAAATGCCTAAAAATAAAATAACCAGGATTTGGAAAAAAAAAAAAAAAAAAAGGTCGTGGGTGGGGTTGCCATTGCATAAAATTTCATAGTGTGTAAGACTCAGCCAAGGACTAAATGTGACTCCCTTTTCTTAGAAAATTCAATTATAAATGCCTAAAAATAAAAAAAAAACCAGGATTTGGGAAAAAAAGGTCGTGGGGGTGGGGTAGCCATTGCATAAAATTTCATGGTGTGTAAGAACCGGCCAAACACTAAATATGACTCCCTTTTCTTAAAAAATTCAATTATAAATGCCTAAAAATAAAATAACCACGATTTGGAAAAAAAGGTCGTGGGTGGGGTAGCCATTGCATAAAATTTCATGGTCTGTAAGACCCGGCCAAACACTAAATGTGACTCCCTTTTCTTAGAAAATTCAATTATAAATGCCTAAAAATAAAATAACTAGGATTTGGAAAAAAAAAAAAAAAAAAAGGTCGTGAGTGGGGTAGCCATTGCATAAAATTTCATGGTCTGTAAGACCCGGCCAAACACTAAATGTGAGTCCCTTTTCTTACAAAATTCAATCATAAATGCCTAAAAATAAAATAACCAGGATTTTGAAAAAAAAAAGGTCGTGGGTGGGGTAGCCATTGCATAAAATTTCATAGTGTGTAAGACCCAGCCAAACACTAAATGTGACTCCCTTTTCTTAGAAAATTCAATTATAAATGCCTAAAAATAAAATAACCAGGATTTGGAAAAAAAATGTCGTGGGTGGGGTAGCCATTGCATAAAATTTCATGGTGTGTAAGACTCGACCAAACACTAAATGTGACTCCCTTTTCTTAGAAAATTCAATTATAAATGCCTAAACATAAAATAACCAAGATTTGGAAGAAAAAAAAGGTCGTGGGTGGGGTAGCCATTGCATAAAATTTCATGGTCTGTAAGACCCGGCCAAACACTAAATATGACTCCCTTTGCTTAGAAAACTCAATTATGAATGCCTAAAAATAAAATAATCAGGATTTGGAAAAAAAAAAAAAAAAAAAGGTCGTGGGTGGGGTAGCCATTGCATAAAATTTCATAGTGTGTAAGACCCCGCCAAGGACTAAATGTGACTTCCTTTTTCTAAGAAAATTCAATTATAAATGCCTAAAAATAAAATAACCAGGATTTGGAAAAAAAAAAAAAAGGTCGTGGGGGTGGGGTAGCCATTGCATAAAATTTCATGGCGTGTAAGATCCGGCCAAACACTAAATGTGACTCCCTTTTCTTAGAAAATTCAATTATAAATGCCTAAAAATAAAATAACCAGGATTTGGAAAAAAAATGTCGTGCGTGGGGTAGCCATTGCATAAAATTTCATGGTCCGCAAGACCCGACCAAACACTAAATGTGACTCCCTTTTCTTAGCAAATTCAATTATAAATGCCTAAAAATAAAATAACCAAGATTTGGAAAAAAGAGGTCGTGGGTGGGGTAGCCATTGCTTAAAATTTCATTGTGTGTAAGACCCGGCCAAACACTAAATGTGACTCCCTTTTCTTAGAAAATTCAATTATAAATGCCTAAAAATAAAATAACCAGGATTTGGAAAAAAAAAGGCCGTGGGTGGGGTAGTCATTGCATAAAATTTCATGGTGTGTAAGATCTGGCCAAACACTAAGTGTGACTCCCTTTTCTTAGAAAATTCAATTATAAATGCCTAAAAATAAGATAACCAGGATTTGGATAAAAAAAGTCATGGGTGGGGTAGCCATTGCATAAAATTCCATGGTCTGTAAGACGCGGCCAAACACTAAATGTTACTCCCTTTTCTTAGAAAATTCAATTATAAATGCCTAAAAATAAAATAACCAGGATTTGGAAAAAAAAAAAAAAAGGTCGTGGGGGTGGGGTAGCCATTGCATAAAATTTCATGGTGTGTAAGATCCGGCAAAACACTAAATGTGACTCCCTTTTCTTAGAAAATTCAATTATAAATGCCTAAAAATAAAATAATTAGGAAAAAAAAAAAAGGGTCGCGGGTTAGGTAGCCATTGCATAAAATTTCATAGTGTGTAAGACCCGACCAAACACTAAATGTGACTCCCTTTTCTTAGAAAATCTAATTATAAATGCCTAAAAATAAAATAACCACTTTATATATATATATGTAAACCTTAACCCAACAATTTAGCTTTATATTTATACAAATAGGGAGAAAGTAAGAGAGATGTCTACAAAGACGACTTCTCTTTTTCGGCTAAAAAGGGTAGAGGAAGGAGAGGGGAGGGGGGGGGGGGGATTTGTGCCATAGTCGAACCAGTCCATCTAAATATGGCCAATAATCGGGTTGAAGTGTTTGGATTAAAAGTTTAGATAGGATCGAGTTCAATTGAATTCTTTATAACTTTGGTTGAGTTCGGACAGACTATTTATTTGTTCGAGTTGCATCCTAGTGAAAATTTAGAAGAAAAGTTGTGAAAATGGAGAAGAAAAGTTGGGAAGGAGACGAAACTTCCGTACATAAAGCTAGTTCATCTAGTGGAAGACTTAGTCAATAACCAATGGTAGGTCTATCAATTAATGTCAATCCTTAAGTCTTGATCATATCCGTCAATACTCTTGCCATGAACGGCTTACCCAAAAAAATAAAATAAAAGAGTTAACTATCTATTTGACTCATTAATTATATTATTTGTGTCAATTTAGTCATTAAACTATGTTTGTGTTAATTTAGTCCTTAAACTATTACATTTGTGCCAATATGACCATTCTGTCTAAATTCATCGTTAAGTTTGACGGAATTCTTCACATGCACAACACGTGACTCTTAAACTATATCTTAATCTCCAACTCACTTAATGCGTACATGAGAAATTTTGTCAAAATTAACTGCGAATTTGGACAGAAAAGTCTCATTGACACAAATAGTATAATTTAGAGATTAAATTGACATAAAATATAATTCAAGAGCTTGATTAATATAAATAATATAATTCAAAAACTAAATAAATAATTAACTCTTCTCTATAAACATATAAAACTAATGATCATAAAGAAAATTAGGCCCCCCGATATCAAGCAACTAAGCATTTTAGCTCTCACTTTTGGAAAGCTTCTAAAAAGGCCTCAGGTTCGAGATCTGTCTTTCCAACATAAACTTTAGAGGTCACAAGTTTTATTAATGTCGGAGTGGATAACAAGTTGAATGGAAAACATTTAAAAGTTTCCTTAATTTATTAGTTTATTGTATTGCTTTTTCTTTTCCTTAAGGAAAAATCTCAGGGTCCTACTTTCTATTTTTATATTTAGGAGAAGACTACAGTACCTACACAAAATATTTATTGAAAAAAAAATAAAAATTGTATTGTCAAGTTTTAAAAGTTTGTGACTTGATATACAAGTTTTTAAGTTAATTAACAATAAAAAAATTTTGAGTCGTGTCGCAATTTTTAGGATTTCTTTTGTCAGGAAAAGTGGGGGAGAGGGGTGACCAGCATGTAGTGACCCCCCTTGGGTGTGACCATGAGGGTTTCCCCCGATGTGGAATGTTCGATTAATCATAGCTATAGACCTCTTTTGAGTAGTCCATCACCACACCACCACCGAAGCACTAATGAGTAAGGCATGAGGATCTCGTAGATCAATCCCTACTTGCTAACCTCGTGGGAGTCAAGGAACGATCCGAAACGGGCACATCTTACCATAATTTTTTGGGGTTAAATTAATTTTAAGATCCATCCCGAATTATCTTAAAAATTATATATAATTCACAAAACTTAAAAAAAAAAACACACACACACACACACAAAACTTGTAATGATTGTACGGTACGCCCACAAGGAAGAAAAAAAAGGTTGTCTACTACCAACCACTCATCGTAATTAAAGGATTCCTTCTGTCTAGGCAACGTTGAGTGCTTATGCCAGAGCTGAGAAGTGGGCATTTGCTGCCCGCTAAAAAGGGTAACCTATGACGCTTTTATAATTTCTAATTGGAGTATCCGGAAATAATTATTCTTTATCATATTTATTTTTTTATTTAGTCATGAATGCAATGTATAAAAT